TGGAAGAGCCCCAGCCTAGAATATAACTTGTATGGTTGAATAAATAAATTCATATTCTTTAGTTCTCTAATGAACACATTAGAGAATCTTAAATTTCCTTTGAACATTAGTGCCAATTTGTAGAAAGCTTATTCAGTTGATCTGACTATGAAAACGGTACGATAATCTAAAGAATATTTTCCCCATGTTGCTGAGGTGAAAAGCACTTTTACGATTTTGCTAAGACAAGGATACTATAAACAGATGGGATTGTCTTAATGAGTGCAATGCTTCATTGAAATAATAACTGGAAACACTGTACAAACAGTATCACGTCTATTACAAAGGCATTAATCAATTGAATTGTAGTTGCTTAAAAGGAGTTAAAAAAAAATAGTTTAGTGCAAATATGCCTCAAAAACATCTCAAAAGTATGCTTGAGCAAAAAAAGCTATGACAAATTACTTCAAATGGCTTTACATCCGGAGCTTGCTTTCTATATCCTAATTAATGCTAACAGTAAGCAAACTTCTCAAAAAAAAGCAGGCTCATTTTATAGCTGAATATTTCAATACAGATTTTTCATCTATTTTCTGTCAAAGCAATTGTTTTAAGGGAATGAAATATTTAAATAACATAAAAATACAAATATCCAGCTTCACATTTCCCTAGGCTTCTGAGTGTGATTTGCATGTAATGATAAAATTAGAACTGCAAGTTTACGTAGTTATTTTTACTCTAGCCCACATTTGATATTAAAATAATTTCTGTGCATTTTAGACAACCATTTAATTTTATTTATTTATCAATACATTGAATCTCATTGTAGGAATGCAACAGCACAGAGAAGCAGCTTATCTGCCTATTTAGAAGCTTATTTACTACTATTTACTTTCTACTCATTAGCAAAACTGAAGTTTCAGGAAACCTAACACATATGGTAGGTTCAGTGCCTTAATTAAGAACCTTATTCTAACACATTAGCAAGTGGGAATGGGGAAAAAAAATCACTATACTTTAGTTTTTGTTTTCCTCTACAAGTCTGTGAGCACCATTACAGTTAGAGCACTTTGCAAACATTATATTCACCAGAGAGGAAGCTGGCACTGTGTGCTACAGAAGAACACCAGTTCCAACACACCAGTCTAACCTGGTCACAGCAAGCTTCCCGTGCCAAAAACAAATAAGCAGCTCACATATAATAGAGTTTGAGCACAAAACTTTTTAAATTATAGGACTTTTTCAGAACACCTTTTTCTCCAGACCGTAAATCTGGAAATAAATGAGAGCATACCAGAAACCTGAAACAAAAGCAGTATGGACTTTCTGACTTGGGTACTTAAAATATGAAGTAAAAATGTATGCATGTACAAAATGATCATATATATATGTACACCCCAATTTTACACCCTCCAGAACATGCCCAAACTGAAGGAATCCCTTCTCTCTCCCACCATAGTTCCAAACTGAGCTTTCCTCCAATGAACCACCCAGCTGTCACATATTTTCCCTCTTCCAGACCATCTGCTTTTTCTGAGAAAAAATAATTATATTTCATCTCCTTCTGAACCAGCTACCCAAACCAATCCATGCTTCACCTGCCCATTGTGGGCCACAGACCTCCAACACCACACCTTGAAGAATACCTTCAGGTACTTTATCTGTCCGAAAACCTCTGGAAGACCAGACTCCTCCACACCTTGAAGAATACCTTGGGGTACTTTATCTGCCCGAAAACCTCTGGAAGACCAGACTCTTGTGCATCCACATGTCATCTACCTTTCCTACGTGAGTCACTTAAGTTCTGTCCTCAAACTCAGATGAAGATGTTGATTATTTATTTGAATGATAAAGGAGGAGGGGCTCACCAGTCCTCCTCACAGCCTCGCTCCCCATCGCGCTCCACACCTCATTCACTGTACAGGAAAAAAGTTATTGGGGTCATTGGGTACCAAATTCTTCAATTAGGCTGAGAGGTCTTCCTTCTTCAAAGGAAAGTACAAGAATCAGCAAAGCCCAATCTTACTACATTTGTGTTTGCTGTTAATGCTGGAAAACCAGGTGAGGTTATACTAATCTGAAGAGTACTTTAGTGCTTTAGAAACACAGTGGGTAGCACCAGAGGAGCCCCAACTCCATTTCCCATTATGTGCCTCGGACACAGTACACGTAGAGAGGAATTATGCATATGCACAATTCTAACCCTGCGTTCAAGTTGGGGGTTTTTTTGCATATTCCTAGAGAAGAACAAACCAGAACTCTGCTTTGGGCAAAAATTCCCCCTTGGCCATCTTGGAAAGAGCAGCTTTACTTCCAGGTGGGTTCCAAAGCCCCCAGCCTCAAACAGCAACACTGCCCCGGGCTGACTGAAACACACAGCCCTGCAAACCAGCAGCATTTCTGCTTTGAGATGGGCTGCCAGGAGGCCAGTCCGGCTAGCCGGCTCTCCAAGTGCAGGGAGAGGAGCCTGGCAGGATGTTCAGGCGTCTCATTTGCAGACCGAACTCCATCCCTTTGAGGAAGGCAGATCATCCGTGAAAGCACAGTTTGATCTCCCCAGGAGGGAAAGCTGGTGAAAGCTTTAGCGATGGAATACTTGCTGAGAAATGAGGGCCCTGTGGAGAATGCACAGAGCCACTCCATTTTACTGCCTACATCGAGTGCCCATTAGCCTGTGTTTCTAAGAAAGTAACGTAAGAGTAAGCTATGCTTTTAAAAATAAAAAAAAAGAAAGATGGGCATGCTACACATAACTTTGTAAGGACACCACACCCTGAACATGTTGTTCCTCTAACATTTACAGTGAGCACAAGGGACTGGGCAGTAAGCCGATGCCAATGAATCTGCCATCACTTCTGTAGCAGCAGGATGAGACGGGAAGGTCTGAAAGCCCGCATCTGAGCGGTACTCACTACAATCCAGCCTGCTGCTTTTCTCCTTGGAGAAGAGAGGGAGCAGCTGCCCGGAGCAGCAAACCCTGCCCAGCCAGCCAAATCCTGCCACCTGCACATGCGCCAGAGCAGCTCTCAGACCACAAGGGAGGAAGGGAGGGAGAGGATGGGATGGAAGCTCACAGCTTCCTGAATGTGTGCGACCCACAGCCCCCACCACAGCAAAGCGTGGGTTTTTTCCAGTGAAAGTGAACTACCTGAGTCAGCTAAACTGAGAACCCTACGACAGACCTTGCCCATGTTCAGTAATGAACGTTGGTGACTGTTCCTAATGAAGTCAATAGACTGGTTGGGGGCTTAGCAAATACACCTGCACCGAGGCCTGCAAGTCTCTCTCACATCTGGGCATGGGCTGCCTGGACCGTAGGGAAGAGCCACGTCACCCCCCCCACCCTACAACAACCAGCAAAGTGCAGAACAGGGCAGGGGAAGCACGCCATAATTTGTTATTGCCAGCGCTAGCTGTAAGATACTCCCCACCCAGAAATAAAGGGCACATGAGGAATGACCTGGGCTTCTGCAGTCTCTCAGGCGACATTTCTCTTCCCTGTCACCTCCTAGGTCTAAAGGCACATCCTTGCCCAAGAGCAGTAACCACTGCATTATGCCGCTCAGTATGGATATGAGCAGCTTGCTCTAGCTCCTGCTAAACTGAAGTCACTCATCTCCTAAATAGCAGCAATTGCTAAGTACCATACTTTTCAAAGGAGAAGAAAAGCTGAGCACTTCTTTCCTTTCCATTTTTGGAACTGTACTGTAATCTGTGCAGCTACAGAGCTGCAGCTGACTCCACAGCACCCTTTGCAATGACCGGAGTAAGCAGCAAAAATATCCACTGAATTTTTGGAGTATCAGTCCCGACGTTCCCCTCTCCCCTATGCCCACAGCATCTGTAACCTTGCTTCCAAATCCTGAAACACAATTAGAAACCTTCCCTGGCTTAAAATCTTCCTTACTTAAGCACCTAAACTTTTAATTGCACTTTGCTGGTATGGTTTAAAGATATATGGAAATTCTGCCAGATGTCCATGGCTAGCGGATCTGCCGAGGAACAATTCAATCTCAGGGATTTGAGCCTGGCTAATTACCCTCCTCCCTCCTGCACACCTACTGATACAATTACATATTTGACTACACCAGACTAGACCTTATACGCTGCCGAACAGAACAGCACAGAGCTCTGAAATAAGATTCCATCCTTCTCTTTTCCTTTGTGCAGCCTTACTTCAGTAGGAATGAGCTTGCAGATGAGCTGAAAAGTATTTCTTTTCTAAAGCACATGCCTTTTTTCTACTGTCCAGTAAGCAGAAAATGGAATAAATTACATATACATTATAGCAAGATACATGAGGACTAGGTGTGATTTTTGTTGTTTCTTGCAGTTATTATCCTGGGCACCTTTAGATGAATATGCAATCAGAATAGAAATCCTTACCAGGAGAACAAAATTAGGATACATTGTGCTATAAGCAGAGCAGTCAAGTTTTAGTGCATTTTCAATCCAGTTATTAACATCTGAATAAGTGCTTTCAGAAGCATTAAACAGCATGCTGCTTTCTTCAGTGTCACTTTTGGTTGAAAACACAATTTTTTTCAAGAAACTGCTGAATTCCCTATCCAGACCATTCTTTTTAATTCACACTGAAAAACTCCAGCCAATACTTCCTTCCAAATATACCAGCAGCAAAGTAATTTTAAGACAATTTAAAGCAAGTACTTGAAGCACTCATATACCTTATACATTATTTAAATACACCCTAAAACCCAAATATTTCATAATCACTAACAATGATTTGGTAGAAAGCATCCTGAAATCATCTGATATTTCCTAGGTGTGTAAGATATTAATAACAGTAACTGACAGTCAATGACAACATAATAATTTGTGTTGACAATTATTGGACTGAGCGCACTTCAGAGAAATGTAAATGCCAGAGGAGAGCAGCTACAGCTCCATGACTAATGTGTGCCCTGGATTCTGACCATCAGCTTTGCTATTTCAGTTTTGTGACCTGAATCTCCCTCCCCTACCAGAAAGAAACAAAAAAACCCAAACAAGAAATGTCTTACTTGTTCTGCCTTCTCCGGTGGTTTTCTGTCCGCCTGCAAAAACTGGCAGTTTTCTCTCGCCAGCTTCTGGACCAGCTCAATCCGTCCGATGTCATCTCTTCCCTGAAGCTTGCACAAAACCCCTGCCTTAAGGGTGGGAGAAAGAGCAAACAGATACTTAAATCCACAATCCCAGGACATGACACCGCCACAAATTTCAACCTTAAAAGAAACACATCTGTTTTCTCATATTTGTGGTACTTCAGTGCCGCTTGCTGAACACAAACACGTCGCTGCCTCCTGGGAAACAACTGGAGAAGAGCTGAGGCACATCTGAATCTCCAAATGTATCTACTTTGGAGGAGCGAAGGCAGGGCTAACTAAATCAACCGTTCCTCTGAGTGTGACTATCAGATACGCTGTGTTTTATTTGTTCCTGTCAGCCTGTTTCCTGTTACATAAGAGAACAAGAGCAAGAGGTTAAAAACTCATGGGAAAGTTAGCCAGGAACAGCCCTGGAAAAAGAATGAAGCGCAACACAAGGCACTCCTAAAAATAACAGGCTACAACTCCCCCTGCTCCAGCTCCAACCATTTTTCACGTATGCAAGCCATAAGAGTTAAGAGACAGTTGCGCCACGTTTATTTATTCTGTAAATAACAAATCAGTATCTCCTGATTTTGTTCAGGGAAGAAAATGAGATTTGCTTTAAAAACTATGTTAGAACTATTTTTTTGGCTAATAATCTGCCAGTTATTCATGCTATGCTGATAGTGTTTTGTCATAACATTCAGCACTGGTTGTTTTATAAAAATGCCATATATATATATATATACACACACAGATAAAAAGACGGATTCATGCTTGCACACAGGCATACCAAACCCATCACAAAGTTAGCTGATGAGGGCTAAATTGCTCCCTGAAAAATCAGTGACTAATATCACTATCCATGATTTGGTCATGGATATAGCCTCTGCGTAACTGAGACCTGGCTCAACGATACCGCACGGCTTTTATTAGCCCAAATGTTTTCTGATGGGAACAGCATATGCCTTGAGAAGGCCAGGCAGGTGGCATGGCTATGGTATTGCCATATGACTTTAAAGACAATCTGCAAATAAACCTTTTTCCCCACTTCCTCCACCCTTTTCTTTCTACTGTTCATCCTGAGTTTAACTGAATCGGTATTTACTCCAAAATTCATAAAACATCTTATTAGTCAGGAGCAAAAGCCAGGGACGCCCTGATCCCTAACCTGTAATGCCATGCAGGCTTCATTCCTTTGGCCTGGAGAAAATCCTGCCCGTGACAGCTGAAGGTGTGAGAGTGCCCACCCAAACCATCCTACAGTCCACTGTTTTCTCCAAGGAGGATGGAAATGTGGGTTAAGGTTTCTTCAGCTGAGGAGGCCAACAAATCCACTTTCTGAATAAAAGTGCTTTAACGCTGATGGAAAAAAACAAGTTCCATGGCCACATCCAAAGAGTCATCTTTAATGAATTATTTGAAAGAAATTTTTACATGCCTACATTCCTTCAGTCTGGATGAAGGCATCTCCTCACAAGCCTGCATCAGGCACTTGTGCTCTGGAGAAGGAAAGAATTTCAGATAGAGCCTGTGCTTTGCATGTCCCATGCTCAGTCCCCAGCCTCCTGAGGCACCCAGCTTTCCCACATAAGGAACCTACACACTGGTTTGAAGGTCAGAAATCCACCAAGAAAATAAGAAATTGCAGCGCTTAACCTGAAGATCCTTACATTTTCTATGAGATTAGCTCCTGATCTTCTAAATCGAGGACATGGATTTATAAACCAGTTCTGAGACACCGTTATCACCTGCAGATCAGGAGTGAGACTGATTTTATCAAATGTGGAAGAATATAATGAGCTAGTTGTGCCAACTCTCTTTAATCGATAGAGAAAAAGAGGTACTTATGAATTTTTTTTTACTCTACCGTAGACATTTAAAAATGGTCAGATGAGTTGTTTCCTAAAATTCTTCTTTTTTTCCCAGTAATTTGCACAGGAAGCCTAGGCAGTTGTCACAGACTTGGCTGAGGTCAGATGTCTGCGCTTCACAACGCTTTGATGGCTTGGGGACATCAGCTAGAGCCAAACCTGCTTATTTCATGGCTTCGGGATGCTTCTAGCAGAGAGTATACATCTGTGCACTGTAATCCCCCCAGGCTTGTAGGCTAAGGACAACTCAAAGTGTTATGGCCTATTAGGGCTCTGGGACTATTTTGGCTTTGGGACTGTAAAGATTGACAGCCTCTCTGGATCTGGGATCCTACTACTGCGGAGGGACTTTCCCCACCTTCATCTTGTGCCCAGCCAAGTCAGACCATGACCTACGAGCGGCATAGATGGTTACAAGTCCCTGTACTTCAAATGTCAGATGGACATCGACAGAAATGCAGTGTTCACTCTGCTGAACAAATATTTATTGATCTTGTGTATGAAGCAAAGCCCAATGGTTAAAACCACTTTTTTTTAAGCTGAGGGAGGGGGATCTCACTTTGGGGGGACCAATTGGCTTCAGTATGTTCAAGTGGAAGAAACATCCTGGAGAAAGACAACTTTTTGAACGCATGGGCCTCGCTCTCTTTCACCCCTCGCCCTGTGTTCAGACAGAGCATGTTATGGCTTTCTGCATGGATGAGCACCCCCAGGAAAAAGTAACTCTAGATACGAGCCCATTACCCCTGCCACGAATACCGTCTGTATTCAAGTTGGCAATTTCATTAAAGAATCATATTGTCCTGTTTCAAATAACCACCAAGAAGTAGTCTTCCATTTTAACATGTCCCCTCCTCCCCAACTATTCTTTAATTTAAAGAATTACAGAGAATGTGAAAAAAATATTTATTTTATTGGGTTTCCAGAGGCTAAAATGTCAACTAAAAAATTTCTGGGAGGGCTAAGGTATTATCAAGTTAAATGTACATGCTTGGCTCTGGGAGTAAAGAATGCACTTGAAATACAAAAGGCTAAACATGCTTTTTCATAATTAAGAAGAAAAATATGAATCCCTCGCTTTTAATTCTGATTTCCTCAATTATGCTGACTTTCCACTATAAATCTTTCTGCTAAATACTTATAAGAAAGCATCCAGGTCAACTAATTAATTAATTGATGACAGCTTCTAAAAGCTGGTTGGGAAGATGCTGTTAAGAGTCTCCTATTACTGGTCATTTTCACTTGCCAATATAAATTTAATTTTCAAGCAATACCTTTGAAGCTGTTAGGCAAAAGGGTAAAGGCGAGCCGCCCTACTTGCAAAGTGCAATTTCAGTTTGTATTTTGTGTGGGCACACACCCTCCAAAATCCTGCATGCCCAAATGTTGGTGCTTAGTCCTCTAATTCGTGTACACCAACAGAGACACAAGTACTAACTTATGTGAAGGTGAAAATCACAAAGTTGCATATTTTAACTGGCTTTAATTTAATGAATAATAAAAGAATGTAAAAGCTTTATAGTAAGGCTTTACTACCATTCACGGCACAAAATTACTATAATTAAAGGTGTTTATGCAATATTTGAAATGAAATAAAAAAGTTTAATGGGAAGGAAAGTAAATTTGTCACTACTGAGGTTGGAAAAGCAAAGATGCTGACAACACATTTTCTGTTTCAGCACATCCATTGGAAAACACACCCTCTGCAAAGGCCATAAATGAATATGCTAGCAGTGACACAGAGGTGAATTAAGACAGCCCTAGGCAGACACGATGGGCTTTTTTATTTACATTATTTACACTGTTTACAGCATGCTCGCTTTTAAAAATCCATGTACTGAATTTTTTCCACACTTCTACCAGTTTTGTCAACTAACTCCAATGTAAGTCAAGCCTCCATCCCGCAGAGCGGTGTTTAGAGCAGGCACCACACCCTTCAACTCTACTAACAGAAGAGGTTTGTGGTGGTTTGGTTTTTTTCCACCGCACCTCTGTCTCCTTCTGTGTCTGGTGAAAACAACATAATTATTACAGGCTTCACCTTTGATCAACCTGAAAACTTAAAACCATATGCCACTGCCTCGAAAGATCATTTGCTTTGCTCCAGTCACATGCACGGTCTCACTAAAGTGAAAAAAAAAAAATCATTCACACCCTTAAACCAAACTGGATTCGGTGTTTGCAGGATGTCGTTTTTATGGCACTGACAAACAAATTGGAGCAACAGCTGCTTTGATAACGCTCCTGCTCTCCTCCCAGTTGGGCGCTTGAACGCTTTTGTTAACTGCTCACTTAATAACTGTTTAATTTTAAATGTGTTTCAAATTCTTTCAAATTTTAGAAGCTGGTTTCCAGCCAAATAAAAGCTGAGCAAATCAATATCCCAATAATAAATTCTTATGGATTTTTATAATCTGCCCATGTAATCTTATTAGCTGGCTACTTAGGAGCTTTAAGCACACATGTCATAGTCTTTCTTTTTACACCTCTGACATAAATGTGAACAAACATTTAAAAAAAAAAAAAAACTACAACAATCAAGTAGAACTGAGCATATATGAAACCCAAAAAAGAAAACAGAAAGCCAGATTTTTTGTGCAGTGAGGTCAGTATTTCCCCCTGGGTCTTTTCTATAGCTTTGTAATGCACAGCTGAGCTCTAGAAGATTGATCCTCAGCCCCGCGCTGATGTGAATTAGGAATCAAAGTCGGGTAACAAAATTTTCACACAATAGGGCTCCTACTACACTTTTTTTTTTTTTTTTAAATAGACTTGAAACTGTGTGCAATTAAGAAAAGAGCAGGCCATTTCCGAACATCTTGCTCGAGCGTTACTCTGAGGAGTATGCTAGAAAAGCCTAGTTACACACCGACGCAGTAGGCATATCCGCATGGTCCCCAACTCTTCTGCCTGCGCTCTCCAGGTGTCTGCCATGGCCCAGGTCTGCTACTGGAGCTGCCTACAGCCCCTCCTGGGCTCACTGTGGTCGAGACCGCCCCTACCTTTATTAAGATATAGGTACTGCTAACTTGGCTACATGGCTTGTACCCCTTCAGCTAGGCTCGCTCACAGAGAGCAGTGCAAATCCTGTCTTTCTCGCACACAGCTTTTTAGCGGGCAAGGTGTTAGGAGATAAATCGGAGACAGGAACTGCAAATTGCATACGTAGGAAGGAGAAAAGGTGGCAACTGGTAGGAAACATAAGATTTTCAAGAGGAATAGAAGAAAAAAAAACAAACAGTCAAGACTGGGAGAAATCAATTTTAAATTAAAAGCAATAATCAGTACCAATACAATGAGCAATATAGTTACACTTGCACAGTCTGAATGCATGAACTGAATGATTGAATGAACTGGAGATTAATCAAAAAAGTTTCACAGAATTAAAAAGGGTAAGCAATTCCACAATAAAATACTCTAAAATGCAGTTAAGTTTCTTCTGAGCAATATCTAGAAGGATGCTTTAGTTGTAAATGAAGGCAGTTAGGGAAGGAAAGAAAAAGGTTGTTGCTTACACTCGAGTGACGAATAAGTATCTTCAATTCATTGCATGTCTACTTACAGTGATTAAAATTAAATCAAAATGTCACATGCCTTTGCCTCCTAAAACACATCTCATTTTATTTTCACATCTGGTATATGCTTTGTGTATTATCTAAAAAGAGCAGAAAGACAGTTTAAGAATGCTGTCAGATTTCAACATCATGGGATTAATTCCCAGGGTAATCATCAATCTTATTCTAAATAGTCACATAAGACAAGATCCAGCAGACTTTCTCCTTCATACAGGCTCCCTGTGCAGAACATCAAGGAAAATCCATTTCCCAGAGCTATTGAAAGCAGATCCTTCAACTTGTAGATCTGAAAAAGTCCCTGAGACGCCATTAATCTTGCACATTTACCTGAGCATCAGAGGTATCCTTGAGCTCTTCTAGTCCTCTTATTTCTTGACTGCTGTTTTCTTCATTTTGATGAATTGCTAAAATAAGAAAGAGGGAATGTATTGGAAGCAGGCAGGTTCAAATCATAAGATGCAGCAAAGCAGCATGGCCCAGTTTAGATCAAATAGGATGACCATTCAAGAAACCTCGTTCCAAGTTTGGCTTTCCAGTTAACTCATCGAGTGGTTTTGGACAAATCCTATAAGGTATACCTTATTTTTCCCAGGCAGTAAAATGCAGTACTAAATAGTTACATTCCTGCTACTGCTAGCCCTGATAAAACGGTGACATTTAAGGAAACTCCACTTTTCCATACATTATAACAAGACCCGATGACTCACAAAGAATAAAAAAATCAGACACCCCTTTATTTTCATTATATTGCAGAAGGTCAATTCAGACTAAACAAAATAAGCAGATTTATCCCTCATCTCAGCCTTGGAAAATTCTTTGTATGCATCTCAATCTTAACAAACACCACCACTATCCATGAAAATCATCTCCGGAAGAAACTGTAGCAGAAGATGTTCTATTGAAGGTTATTTGCTGCTGGCACAATAAGAGAAACGAGTAACTTAGCTCAATTAACATTGCTTAACACCAGTGAGTTTTGCCAGACTTTAAAGAAAAATGGTTTGGATCAAACAAGTAAGCTCTGGACGGGTGGAAATCAGAATTATCAGTTTACCTAGCTAAAGAAACAAGGACCACATTTGAAGAGACACATCAGACTTCCGTATTGCAAACAGCTATATCTATAAGTAGCTTTACTAGCTATAGTCCAAGATACTCTTCCAGTCAACATGCCCACCCGCTGTATTTTAGTGGGACATCAAGCCCTCAGCCATTCTGAAATGTGACACGTGGCAGGTTAGGAGGGTCAGACACGATGAAACACATGAGAAGTGACTTCACCTTACACCGTACTCATTTACTTACAAGCACATACTCAAATATCATCGATCTTGTGTACGCATCGAACGATTTGCCAGTGTAGCCATCACAGTTGTGACAACAAAAGCATCCTTGAAGTGGTAGAGCAAATCCACGTCCTGAACAACACCAGACTCATGGCTCTGATGGATGGGAAGGAGGATTCAGCTTGTGTGCTTCCTCCTGTCCACCTCCTCTCTCCTTCACCCCTGGGTACCTGAGCTGGTCGTCAGGCTGCAACTGAACTGCCACAGCTCACAGCACTGTGTTTTCAGACAAGGATCACCAGTCCTGTTTTGCCGTAAAACTATGTCCGTGAGCTGAGGCAGCCCGGGATTTGACTGATGAACAGATCGGCTGTAGAGGTAGCAGTACTACCTTCATCAGCCACCCTCACCTAAGCTCTCCTCAACCCTCAGCCTGAATTTTTAGACATACAACCAGGATACCATCACTGAGCTAATACATGTAACGTGAGCCATGAGGTCTAGCTTCGTGTGTCTGGGTTGGGTGCTCAGCATCTGCTGCAGACAAAATGCAGCCTAACCTTTAGGCAGCATCCAGCAACTTAAAAGTAACTTTAGACTGTTCTTGACTTCTAAAATAAAGCATATGGATTTATTTTCTTTTTACTGCAGGATTTCTGCTGATATTGCTATGTCATATAGGGTATAATTCTTCTTTCTTTCCCCACAGTTATGCTATTAAAAAAAAAAAGTAGTAAAAATATGTAATTATAAAAGGGGAAAAAAAGTCATTTTGTCCACACAGTTTATTCCATTCAGGGATCTTTTTTAATCCATTATCAAAGGAAATGTATTTTCTGTATCAGAAATAGTGATTGTATTTTCTGTATCAGAATACAGAATATTACAAGCACGTACTCAAATATCATCGATCTTTTGTACGCATTGAACGATTTGCCAGTGTAGCCATCGCAGTTGTGACAACAAAAGCATCCTTGAAGTGGTAGAGCAAGTCCACGTCCTGAACAACACCAGACTCATGGCTCTGATGGATGGGAAGGAGGATTCAGCTTGTGTGCTTCCTCCTGTCCACCTCCTCTCTCCTTCACCCCTGGGTACCTGAGCTGGTCGTCAGGCTGCAACTGAACTGCCACAGCTCACAGCACTGTGTTTTCAGACAAGGATCACCAGTCCTGTTTTGCCGTAAAACTATGTCCGTGAGCTGAGGCAGCCCGGGATTTGACTGATGAACAGATCGGCTGTAGAGGTAGCAGTACTACCTTCATCAGCCACCCTCACCTAAGCTCTCCTCAACCCTCAGCCTGAATTTTTAGACATACAACCAGGATACCATCACTGAGCTAATACATGTAACGTGAGCCATGAGGTCTAGCTTCGTGTGTCTGGGT